GGTGGTGACTCTCCGTCTGCATGGGGTGGTGACTCTCCGTCTGCAGGGGGTGGTGACTCTCCGTCTGCAGGGGGTGGTGACTCTCCGTCTGCAGGCGGTGGTGACTCTCCGTCTGCAGGCGGTGGTGACTCTCCGTCTGCAGGCGGTGGTGACTCGCCGTCTGCAGGGGGTGGTGACTATCCAGGACTCTGCACCATCACATCCAGAAGGCGTTAATGAGGCCTGAATAATTATCCGGTTAATAAACAAACTGCCACAAAACCAGTAAAAAAAAAAAAAGGTTGAACTAACTAAGTGAAGCCCTCTGAAGTATGAGACGACCACATCAGAGAGGCAAAAAGCCCTCGTTAGTATTAATGCCCAGTCACTTTACTTTGCCCTTGTTAGTCAAAAACAGCCAAACACACCATTTTTAAGAAGACAGTGAAATAAACGAATCGATATGGACAGGAATGTGAACAGTCCCCAGAGCGTCACGCGGGAGGGTGGGGGGTAATGGTGCTCGGCGTTGATGGGCTGAAGACTTCACCGCTCAGCTGTTTGTTGTCCAGCTGGCAGTGTGTGTGTTTGGAGAAGCGTCCCGTTTAAACAGAGTGTTCCGGAAAGGGGCCGTGCTTCGCTCTGACCTCTCTTCTACGGGCTCTCGTCTCTGTGTTCCCGGCCAAGCTGTATGTGGCACAAAGCGGGCAGACAGAAGGCACATGGCCCCACCCCTTTTATGCTTATTACCTCTGCTGATTGGTCCAAAGCCATCAGTGCCGCTGTCCTTCATCGCTGTCACATTTGTGTTGGGTGGGAGTTTGAGTTGAATGGATAAGTCATCCCCAAAAGCAGATCTTAGAATGTCGGATCGGGCTGCGGGTCAATGGGACGGCCATCATGCCAGTCCAGAAATGCTTTCAGTTGAGTTACTAACCAATGATAGCATGGAGGCAGGTGGGAGTGGCATCAAATCTTGCGTCCGATTGGCTGCTGCGAGTTCCAAGTCACTTATGCATGAATACTCAGTACTGTATGAGTTTTCCATCATAGAGGATGGAAATTTCCCTCTTAAACGTCTGAGCATATTGAGAAAGCAGGTGTTGCTCTTTTCACTACCCTTTTCATCCTCTGCCTCAGCCTTCGAGGGAGTCGCTCCGCCCATCAGCGACAGCCTTTATAGAAACTGAAAGTCGCTGTGATTTCCCCTCCCCAGGGCGAGTGCGATAAACAATGCAGCTTTGTGCTTCCTCTGGCTCCTCTTCCAGCCAAACCTTCAGCCGCTCGCCGGCTTTGAATGAGCTCCACGTTGGTAACACCACGCGGGAGGAACTCTCCATTTCAGCCCGCTGCGAAGCCGCATTGAATAGGACTTCGATCCTCATTGTGGCCCTGACTCAGGGAACAGGGGGCGGCCTGCTTGTCGACGGCCTCTAACAGGGAGACGGATGGACGGACGTTGCTGATCCTCCACGCTGCAGCTCTGTCACGACACCGTGCGGTGATGTTCATCCCTGCAGATCACTGAATCCGAGGCTTAACGTGGCTGCGGCAGGAATTAAAATCCTGGCGTTGTCCCCTCTAGCGGAGCTCCTGTTCTCAGCATCGGTGGAGGTCTCTCTGGAGAAAGACCTTCTCGATGTGTAACTTAGCTGACCCGGTAGGTGAAGCTGGATATGCAAATATAAGGTCAGATGATGGAAGGTCTTGACGGCCCCACAACAAATTGACAATTGATCGGGGTCGTACCTGGGGGTGTTCCGGCTGATGAAGACGCTTCTAAGTCGGGTTTTTTGTGTTTTTCCTTTGGTTTGGTCATGTTTTTAGGTCTAACCGTGGAGTTGCTCCGGTCTTTGGAGGGAATGCAGAAATTAGGGCAGCACGGCCTGTCTGGGATGTAGGCTGCCGCTTGACCAGCTATGAACTGGATCCCGCACCATCCTCTTGAGGAAGTGCCCCCCCCCGATGCAGGGGCAGCGGGTTTCAGTGGGCAGCCTTGTTACCATACCCGTCAAGCAACCCTGGCCGCTCTGATGGACTCCCGGATAGCATCTCGCTGTGGTTTTACTGGGCTTTCGTTTCGCGTTACACTGGCCAGCACCCATTTCACGTTTCGGGGTGTCATTTGAATCTTTAAAAATGAACCCATAACCTCAGGGAACTGGGACTGTCTGGTTTCAGCGTGACCCATTTTCTAATGATACCCCCAGCAGCCACGCCATGACAGATGGGCTCTGACCAGATTCTCTCTTTCCCAGGGCAGTGCCACTTTGGGGGGTGGGGGGGCATTACAGCAGCTGACAGTGGGCCCTCAGTGCTGGGTGGGCTTTTCCATTCCACCCCCTGAGCATGGTGCATGCTTAAGTCATGCGTATTGACTTCCCAGCATGCCTTGGGTTTCTTAGTCAGGCCCCTGCTGCAGTCTCACATGTACAGTAGTGAGGTCCCCCCCATGGATCTCACAGTGGAGGAGGTCCAGAAGGTCAGGTGTATCATTATAAATGCTCACCTTGTATGAGTGGGTCTATTCTGCCCCTGTGTGTCACATGCACAGAACGTTCCGGTGTAGCTAGGAGCTCCCACCAGGAGGGTGAGACAGGATTGGATGTCGCCTGCCCAAGGATGTATGTCTCAGAACGTCCTTTCTACACTCCCGCTGGCCATTTAGGCACGGTGCAAAAATAATAAGACCCCCATTAACATCCTGTTTTTTCCTTCTATTTTTGGAAGCTTATTACACTCTTTCCCTCACCATCTCAGTGTATGGGTTTGTAAAAAAAAAAAAATAGTTTCCACTTGCACAATGGGGCCAGCATTCTTTCCGCTCGTGACTCACTCCGTGTTTTCGGGATGAGGACAGGTTTACAGTCCGTCTTTCTCATCCCAGACGTTTCCTTCTGTACTATAAGCTTTTGCTTCGGCTCTTCGACCTGCTGGCATGGCGCTGGCCTGTGTTAATGCGCTGACTTGGGTTCAGGCAAGCCAGATTTCCTAAAACCCGGGTCTCACTGTGAGTTTGTGCGGACGCTTGGAGGAGGCCCCTGGGTGAGAGGAGGCCCCTGGGTGGGAGGAGGCCGCTTGGAGGAGGCCCCTGGGTGAGAGGAGGCCCCTGGGAGGAGGCTGCTTGGAGGAGGCCGCATTTCTGCTCCTCCTCTTCACTAAGGGTTTAGACCCTCTCTCCTAATGCTGTTACTCCACTGGGATTTGAAATGACCTCCATGTACTTTTTGGTGCTTTGATGGCCTCGTTGCTGCTCTCTGCTCAACATGAGCGCAGATATTTATTAGGGTGAGACTCGGATCATGGAGAGGCAGCTCAGACATAATCATTCTGCGGAGGACATCTTTCTGTTCAACGTGATCGTTTTCGCGTCCCGAGTTCAGATAAAAAATAAATAAATAAAAACAAAAATCCCTATTTGCTGTGCATGCTGTTACTGGCACAGTCTGACATGCGCTACATGGTCATCTGTGGTCCTGGCAGGAATACTAAAGCACAGCATGATGGGATATCTGAATGAGCCCTTGTCCTTGCTCTACTCCGAAAGAGCAAAGAGTCACAGCTTCGAATGCTAACAGCCCACTGCCGAACTTGTTCCTAATCAAACGGTTATCTCCACCGCTGTTTGCTTTAGGAAAGCAAATGTTTAAAATTGAGCCACTTTAACTCCCTTGTACCTCATTAGCAATGGCGCCAAAGAGATAAGAGAGTGAGGGGGGGGGAAACCTTTCCTTTCTGAAGCCTCCCCTGAGCTGCCAGTCCCCTGTTGATGTTCGATGGGGCTCGTGTGGAGACGTCACTGCTCACTTTGCTGTTATTCTGCTCAGTTCAGGAGGTTAAATGTCGGACAGTCTGCATGATTAATGGACCTGTATGGAGAAGCTATCTTGTCCCTGTATCCTTAGGTCTGCGAGTTTTCTAGAGCGCTTAGTTTACAGGTTCCAGCAAAGACTTTTAGAGGTTACAGCTTCGTGTAAATGCCAGAGTTGTAGGACATTCTGTAGGACAAGGGCGTAGCTTTGGTTTAAACATTGGTAGGGGCCCGCCTACCTTTCCTCTTAACGGGGAAATGTCCCCATCGTCCCGTGCCCAAATGTAGGGACGTGTCATATCTTGTTGGGCATGTGCAGTAGAACATTGTGGGTCAGTCTGAGCTCGGGGACCAGCCCCAGACCTACTGGAGATGTGGGACATTCCCCAAGGAGTGACTACCTTCACATGATCCCCATGACTTTCCACTCCTCCCAGAGTGAAGTTAGCCTCGTCCTGCAGGAAGTCCTCCACCGGCGTCATCGAGGAGTTCAGGTTCCTTCTCATGGCATTGTGACTGGGCAGCTGAAGGCATAGAAGATGCTCCAGGCTGTGTTCACCAGGTTTATGACCTGGTTTTTCATTAGGGTTAATGAGTATAATAAACCTTTGGGGGGGGGACATGTTTTAAGGGGAGGAGGGACACCATATCCACACATTATCTTTGACACGTCCTGCAGTCCAAAGACCGTCATTGTCCTCACCAGTTATGGCACAGTGTAGACCTCCCAAAAAAACAAATGACCCAGATAGACGTCCGGCGATAAATGGGGGTGGGGAGGGCCGAGGACGCGCTCCCATCATGCTGCTCGGCCAGAGTGTGTCACCACGATTTGGTACAAGCTTCTCTCACTGCAGGCTGCAAAACATGAGCTGGGTCATTGAGGGACGTTTTTACATACTGAAGTCCCCTGTAGGTCTGTGGAAATACAATACTATATATAATTGATTTCTTGGCATCTGCGTATAAGGTAAATTGGCTCACTTTAGTCAGGATATCCTATAACACAGACGTCAGTGTCTGTGCTTCTTGGGAATGAGGTCGTCAGGGTAGTTCGCTGCCTGTAGGTAAATCTTGTCAGTGACTGCAGTGAGCGTGTCGGGCTTTGCAGTGGGAGGCTTGGGCTGTCTGCGCATCTCCAGCTTGAGAGGGAGGAGCTCTGGGCCTTGGGATCCTCCTTATCTCACCCTGCAGCTGCAAGGCCCATCGATTTAGCCTGCAGGCTGCCGGCATGCTGATGCACGCGGGGCGAGCCGGGTCCGAGGAGCGCCGCTCATTCGGGGAATACGAGTTTCTGCTTATGCGTAGTGTTTTATTGCTGGTCTTGTGTGGTGTTACTCATATGGTGCAGGCTGAGCTGGCGAGCAGGAAGCCAGCTGTGCTTAGTTACCTGATACCTCAGGATGCATCTGGCAGTGCTGCATCATTGGTTTTTATCACACCTCGCTATACTAAATATTTGGATTTTGCTCACCTCGAAGGCCAACTTTGACTTTGCCAAGCAGAGTTTGCTCCGTAGAATGTCTGTCTAAGATCTTGCTTAGCACAACTCAGTCTTTTCCAGAGCCTCAACTCCATGAAACTCACTTGCTGGAAATGGGAAACCTTCTCGATGCTGGTAGGTGTTGATCATGTGGTGTCTGCTGGATTCTGGACCACCCCCGTTCCTGTCTGGAGGCTCAGAATGAACAATATCATTTTTGTTCCTTTGTGTGAAGGTAGTTTAGGACCTTTCCTGGCCGCTCCAGGATCCTCTGTCATCACGTCCTGTTCTTCAGCTTCTGCTTTACCAGCTATTCCCAGCACTCAGCTTTTGCTTGAGGAGCCTGACTGTCCGCCTCCCCGCGACCCCGACTCAGCTGTTTGACAGCACGCCTCCCCGCGACACCGACTCAGCTGTTTGACAGCACGCCTCCCCGCGACACCGACTCAGCTGTTTGACAGCACGCCTCCCCGCGACCCCGACT